CTATCTTGAGCACGACCCGCTCGCGAAAACAGCTGTGTGATCACAGGGACCGTAGGTTGGAGCGTAGGCTGTCACCCTCCACCTTGAAAGTGTATGTGGCTGCTATTGCAGCACATCATGATGCAGTGGACGGCCGGTCCCTGGGAAAGCACAATCTCATCGTCAGATTCCTGAGGGGTGCCAGGAGGTTAAATCCTCCTAGGCCACCCTTGGTGCCCTCCTGGGATCTCTCTACCATCCTGGCTGGCCTTCAGAGGGATCCCTTTGAGCCGCTGGATTCAGTTGAGCTTAAATTCCTGTCTGCTAAGACAGCGCTCCTGACTGCGCTCACATCCATCAAGAGGGTGGGGGACCTCCAACCATTTTCAGTGAGCGAAGAGGGCCTTGTGTTCGGGCCGGCCTACTCTCAAGTCGTCCTGAGACCCCAGCCTGGATACGTGCCCAAGGTTCCCACCACGCCGATCAGGTGGTGAACTTGCAAGCACTGCCCTTGGAGGAGGCAGATCCAGCCTTGGCGTTGCTGTGTCCCGTAAGAGCATTGCGCTTTTTTCCTCCTCAAGTTCAGTTCCCCAGACGGCGAGCCCTGGTGGAGTTCCTCCAGCACCCCGGCAGTCAGATTGGGCGGAGCAGTCTAACGCCAGGCCCAGTATTGGTGTTAGCTTGCCCGGGTCTCCGGTCAGCCCCTGTACTGGGCTAGGTGTCCACATGGCTTGATTCCCTTCAGGCGAGCTAGGTGTCCATATGGCTTGATTCCCTGCGGGCAATCCCATATGCGTATTCTTCCACGGTAAGGTTTCCCCCTTGGTAAACCCATGTCTTCCCTTCGACAGACCAGTTCTGTCCATCTCTGCTGGCAGTCGTTCCATCACTACTCTCAGGTAGGACCTGCCTCAGAGACCCATTCCATATGTAGTACTGCCCCAGGCATGAGTCAGTCCATATCTGAGCCTCCACATGATACCTCCCTACGGGTAAGATGTGACCTCCATAGTGCCCTTCTCAGGAAGGCTCGCTTCCCCATCGTTGCTGCCGAGCTGTAACATTGAAAGGAATAGCAGCTTGGCTATCACCAGCAGCGATATACTCACCTTTGGTCCCTATGGGTTACAAGGTCAGCGAATTTGCGCTGGGGCGGTGGGAAGGTTACGACCTTTGCGTAGTATTTGTCTGACATGCGGCTGATTGTCAACATTTGTAATGCCATAGGGTTGTGACGGGGTTCAGGTTGTGGCGCTTTCCATGGACCCCATAATGTCGAGTCACGACATAACTCGTAGTGACCAACAGATAGGGAACGTCTCGGTTACGTACACTCCCTGATGGAGGGAACGGAGACGTTATGTCCCCATGCCACAACCTCGAACCATCGCTGGTTGCCAGGGATAGCAGCTTGGCTATCACCAGCAGCGATATACTCACCTTTGGTCCCTATGGGTTACAAGGTCAGCGAATTTGCGCTGGGGCGGTGGGAAGGTTACGACCTTTGCGTAGTATTTGTCTGACGGCTTGTCAATATTTGCTATGCTATAGGGTTGTGACGGGGTTCAGGCTGTGGCCTTTTCCATGGACCCCTAATGTCGTCACGACATAACTCAAAGTGACCGACAGATCGGGAACGTCTCGGTTATGTACGTAACCCTCGATCGAACCATCTCTGGTTGCCTGGGACAAGTTCTCGGCTCCTCGGCATAAAACCTGAATGAGTGGATACTCACTGTCGCCTATTTATACCCGTATGCACGGGGAGTAGCGCAGGTATGCAAAATACACTAGCCAAATTTCATTTGGCGTTTTCCCTTAAAGGTCCCATGGCATGAAAATTTCACTTTATGAGGTTTTTTAACATTAATATGAGTTCCCCTAGCCTGCCTATGGTCCCCCAGTGGCTAGAAATGGCGATAGGTGTAAACCGAGCCCTGGGTATCCTGCTTTGCCTTTGAGAAAATGAAAGCTCAGATGGCCCAATCTGGAATCTTCCCTTTATGTCGTCATACGGGGAAAGGTTACCTCCCCTTTCTCTGCTTTGCCCGCCCAGAGAATTTGGCCCGCCCATGAGAAAATGAGCTACTACCGTGCGAGGCGAGCGCAATATTTTTTTTTCCTCGAGAGACATCATGGCTTGCAAACGAGCGAAGCATGGCAGTTGCCCCGCCTCTCTCCTCCTCATTAGCATTTAAAGCTACAGACACAGAAATGGCACGTCCTAAGGAAAGCTCATTGTGGGACTGGCTCGTAGTGGCTGAAATTCTGCACCAAGGCTGAATTTCGGGAAAGAGACTTCAGATACAGTACTAGGGACCACTTAGGCCTATATAAAAGCATCCAGAAAGCAGCATGTCATGGGACCTTTAAAGTCAGAGATGATTGGGGCTCCCAAATGAATCCACTAATGTCGTCACGACATAACGTCTCCATTCCCTCCATCAGGGAACGAGGGTTACGTACGTAACCAAGACATTTTTAGCTTTGATTAAAAGTATGAAATAAATTGCTCCAAGTACCCTCGGGCTCCATTGTGACAATCACGCGGCCTCTGTAAACAAATCTCCCCATCTTAATGTCATGTCCTCAACTCAGATTCTATACTGCATCTCAAGCCTTAAAATTAAGAGAGGCCAGTATAGTCTTGATCAGATACCTTTCTGCTTTGTCTGGTCTTTCCAGCATAATAAACTCTCCAGTGAGGCCTGATGCTTTAGATTGCACTAAAGAGTGTTCCGCATTGGCTTTCTGTTTTTTTGAAATTTACAAGATTCCTTTCTATCCCGCCCTGACATTCTTTTCCAGGGTCCGCTGCTGAGACTATATTTGAACAGAATAATATATATCTCAGAAGTCAAGCCAGAAGCCAAGTGTCCTCTCACAGGAGGATAATAGATGTACGTTTATTAGTTGTAAGGACATGGCAGTAGACTGTCCTACTTTAACCTGAAGCCTCATAGTACTTTCTATTTTTGTGACAAACTCTGAGAAGCTGAAGCGGACTTGAAGACAACAGAAGTCGACAGAAGACAGAACGATGTCAAAGTTTGGATGGTTAAAACCCAGCTTTTGGGCTGTAGACTACAGTACTATGCTGATGAGATCAAGCCATTCGGTGTCTGTCTGAACCATCCTGTGCTGTAGGGTTTTATTGCTCCGCTCTGCACCAGTTAGTCTGATAAATATGAAATCCAAAAAAGAGGACATGACCAGCAATGGGCCGCAGCTGTAAAACTTTTTTTTTTTCTTCCATTCAACTAGCACAAATCTGAATAAAACTGCAGTATTTGGAGCACTAATTTAAAGGAAGCATGTTAACAAAAGACTAGGCAAAAAATGTTATTGTGAGACACATGAAATGTTAGTGAGAGGCTAGAAGCCTGAAATCTTTGACAAAATGAACCCCACAGAGTTTGGATGTGAGATATGAAATATGGAACAACCAAGTACAATGAGCGGAAACTTTTTTTTTTCTCTCGTCTACTTTCCAGTCTCTTATTTTTTGTAAATTCAGGGTGATGCACACATGCTTCATTGTTATGAATTATTCATGCGAGAACTAAAATAAACCTGAACGAGAACACCATATGCCAACTTTATTGTAGAAAATATTTGTGTGTGTGTATGCATGCATATATGTATATGTTGAAATCCTGCTTATAGGGTGAACACTGCCTCATGGGAGTCAAAAGAGTCTACCGAAAGCTGAAGTCCATAGCAAGGTGTGTTATGGGTAAAACCTACTCTGTCACAATGATATCCGAGCCATGTGACTGCACTGAGTCGGACTTTGAGTGGTAAGTAAACAAGCACCTTTCTTCAAAGATTCAAGCTCTATTCTAAAACTACAGACTTCTCTAACACAGTGATATGTCAGTATGAAAAGCCACAGCAAAATAGTTTTTGTTTTTAATTATCTGATTGATAAATAATTAATACATATAATAATTTACCAATCAAAAGTTTGGGGTCAGTAAGATTTTTATTTTATTTTATTTTATTTTAAGGAGGATACATTTTAATTCAGAAAACAAACGTATTTAATTGATCAAAAGTGACAGTAAAGAGATTTATAATGTTATAATTTAATTTAAACTTTTACATTTACTTTCTATTCATTAAATAATTCTATTAAAAAAACAGCAACTTAGAATGATTTCTGAAGGATCATGGCTGGAATAAATTACATTTTAAATATATATTCAAATAGAAAACACTTATGTTAAATTGTATTAATAGTACAGTTTTTTATCTCTGTATTTTTGATCAAATAAATGCAGCCTTGGTGAACATAAGAGACGTCTTTCAAAAAAAATTAAAGACATCGACCCCAAACTTTTAGTGCATGTCAACAGTTGTCTCAAAATAAATGTTTGAAGAAATATCTGTGACAAAGTTGATACCTAAATGAAAGTCTAGCTGTAAAAAGCAACTTTTGAGCAATTACATTTTCTGGATTGAAGTTGTGGCTTGTCCTCACAAGATCAGCATTTTCAGAAGAGTAATTTTCTTAAAGAAGATCTTTGCTATGTGGAAACTAGTCAAGCTGTGTGAAGACAGCTAAATGGAGAAAAACGTGTTACTTCTTAAAAATCACAGTTCCTCAATAGTAGTACTGTTGTCTCCGTCTGTCAACCATCCTATCTTCTGTAGTATTTCACGCCCCGCGCTTTGTGGCTTAAACCCTCCATTTGTATTCCTAACAGTCTTTTCTCGTCATGTAAATGTGGCCTCTCTCCTCATTTCCCCCTGAATTATCAAAGTTATTAATGTCACTGTTCTGGAAAGTTCCAAATTTGCAGGCCCCTCGAGGCCGTACAGAACAAAGTGTGAAAGTTGTTAATCAGGGAGTGAAACGCTGTGTGTCCACCAACACAAGCTGGCTACATCTGTGTAGCTTGTCATGGTAATTAGTGTCATTTGTTTTCTTGATTGGGGTGTTGAGTTGCATTGGAGGACAAACAACTTTGGCTTCTGTTGTCTGACAGTTAGGTCTAAACATAAATGAATTAATATAAAAGTGGATGCCGAAAGTATTTTTATGCTGACAAAGATTTCCATGCATTTGAATACAAAGATATGTCTTTCTCTGGGTTATTTGTTAAATGTTAACATGAAAGAGAGATGCTAGCACTTTAACTGCTGGCTGCTATACACTTTTTATAAATTGTTAGAAATTAAATGTTATATGACTGCAAAGAAATAAAGAAGCTTTAAAGCATGTAACGAGCATTATTATTATGACTAAAATGTCTAGTTAAAGACTTTTCTTGACTTGCCAGTAAGACAAAAGATTTAGTCTATTTACAGTAAATAAGTATAATGTGAGTGACACTTAGACTTTTGCTTTAAATAAATATTATTCCTGACAGCTATAATTATTTTCATATAAAAGTGAGAATTATTCATCATAGCGAGGAAGATTGGCATTTTGACTTCAATATAAGGCTTCAGTATAATATAATAATAATTATAATAATATTTAATTTGAATTCAATATAATAAAAGGCTTTCTCAATGTAAATATTTTACAGATGACAAATATCAGTGTTTATTTGACCAAACAAACACCGAAAAAAAAATTATGGTGTAGGATTTACGTGGAAACAATTTTCACTCAGAAATTGCTAGTTTATTTCACAAATACTTTTAAAGAAATGGCAATTAACACACTGAATTAAGCATGAAATTCTTAATGTATTCTCTTGTAAAATTTATTTAATGTATTTACAATTTTGAAAATATTTTTATTTCAATTATTTATTTATTTATTTTAAGAAAGGCCTTTTTCAGACCAATGGGATTCTAGCTTAGTGGTGTGAGAACTGGTCTGATGATTGTGTTAAATGACTTAACACAATGTCAAAGAGTAGAGAACTCATGTCTGTTCTCACCATGTTTTTTTTTTTTGTTTTTTTACAGTGATTATGGCTTCGAGAGAAGGGCTGATGGGAAATGTACTCCAGCATTCTGGTTCCTGCCCTCCTCCATGTCTCGGACCTGTACTACAGAACACACGTTCCTCAACAGCACTGGGTGAGATCTCATGTGACGTATGCATCTATCCATTGAAGTGATTATTCAGTGTTCCCATTTAGATAGCTAAGTAAACTTGTACAGTACTGTATGTGTTTGTGAGATTTTCTATTAAACATGTTTGCCATCTGCATTCTCAAATGATTTTGATGTATGACTCATTTAAAATGTTGTATGTGTTTTCACTGTAGCAGATTAGCAGACTAATGAATTTCAATGTTGTCAACTGATCATTTTGTATTAGAGCTTCAGAACTGGTTTATAAATGTGTGTCTTTTGAATGTGTGTTATGCGTCTGTGTGTGTGCAGGTACAGAAAGGTGGTGTCTAATAACTGCACCGGAGGGGTGATAGAGCAGTACACGGCTCGTAGGCACCTGTGCCCTAGCCAGGCCCCTCGCGGCCTTCACTTAGTGACCAGCGAAGGGAAGCTAACGGCTACTATTGCCAGCAACGTCACCTTCCTCGTCTTCCTGGAGGAGGTATAGAAAGATTCAGTGTTTCCTGCACTGCTTATAGGTGACAAAATCATACATTGTCTTTCAGGGAATGTGAGTTTGCATTCTGAGCAGATAAAACAACTGCAAAATAATAGCAAGAAAACACATCTTTCCCATTGACTGCTTATGAAAACTAACAGTCATTAGCTATGTTTCCATCACCCCATTTTTATGTACATTTTGAAGTATCGCATCAGAAACAAGTGATGGAAACACCAAATTTAGAAAAAAAATTTTTTTTTACGCTCGCTTGAGGTGGTTTCTGACTTGTGCGAAAAAGGGTTAAGGCGAATAATGGGAGATGGAAATGCATTTTGCGAATAAATTCCTCCATGCACATCAAAAAAGTCATTTGACTTTGCGCAATGGGACCGCATAACCTGACTAACCAGTGGACAGATCTTTTTGCACAATATCTGAAATGTTGTTATGGTTATTCTTAAATGCTCGAGCATAGTTTGTCTTCAAAGTATTTCTGTATTATTGCCTCCCAGAAACAGCGGGCATCCACCTCTGAAAGCAATGACCGCATTTATTGTGTTTCGTCTGCTCATTCGCAAGTAATTTATTATATATGAAAATTATTGTATGTAGTAGCTTCTACTTTTTTAGTGATATTTAGTGCGAGTTTGTCAGGAAGTGATGATTTTGTTCTCTCTGACTCGTTGAATGGAAGCGGTGCTTATTCGCAAATGTTTTATGCGATATTCCAATTTTGCGCACAAGTTAAATTCGCAACTTTAGATGGAAGCCCGTCTACTGTGACCACTGTAGTCATTCACAAACAAACAACTTCAGTAACGCTTTGTTTTACAAACCAAATCTTACTATTGACAAGTTGCGTATTAGCATGCATTTTACTAGGATATTGGCTGTTTATTAATACTCACAATGAACATATTAAAGGACAAGTTCACTTCCAGAATAAAAATTTCCACAATTACCGCATTTATTGTGTTTCATCTGCTCGCTCTAAGGCGCAAGTAATTTATTTTATATGAAAATTATTATATTCAGTGGCTTCTCCTACTTTTTTTTTGGTGATATTTAGTGCCAGTTTGTCAGGAAGTGACAGTTTTGTTCTCTCTGACTCGTTGAATGAAAATGGTGCTTATTCGCAAAAGTTTTATGCGATATTCCAATTTTGCACACAAGTTAAATTCGCAACTTTAGATGGAAACCCGGCTATTGTTACCAGTGTAGTCATTCACAAACAAATGACTCCGTAATGCTTTGTTTTACGAACCAAATCTCACTATTTACAAGTTGCGTATTAGCATGCATTTTACTAGCATATTGGCTGTTTATTAATACAAAGAACAAGATATTAAAGGACTAGTTCACTTACAGAATAAAAAAATTCCTGATCATTTATTCATTCCCATGTCATTCAAGATGTTCATGTCTTTCTTTCTTCAGTCGAACAGAAATTAAGTTTTTTGAGGAAAACATTCCAGGATTTTTCTCTATAGTGGACTTCAATGGGAGCCAACGGCTTGAAAGTCCAAATTGCCATTTCAATGCAGCTTCAAAAGGCTCTACACTATCCCAGACAAGGAATAAGGGTCTTATCTAGTGAAATGATTGTCATTTTCTAAAGAAAAATAAATTTATTTACTTTTTAACCACAAATGCTCGTCTTGCTCTAGCTCTGTGATGCATGTCCACAACTTCACACATTAACATAATCCCGCTGGAAATGCATGACCATATTTTAGATCCCTTAATTCTACCCCATACCTAAACGTAACAACTACCTTACTAACTATTAATAACCAGCAAATGACGAGTTTATTGAGGCAAAAGTCATAGTTAGTTATAGTGAGAACTGGTTATAGTGAGAACTAAAGTGTGACCTTTACAATTTATCTACAGTACCTACTAGTGTTGTCACGGTACCAAAATTTCAGTATTCGGTACCAATACCAGTGAAAATCCACAGTTCTCGGTACCAATTTCGGTACCAAAGCAAAACACAAAAATATGCTAATTGAACAACATTTTTATTAATAACGTTAAACAAAAATTAAATGTACAAAACCAATGCCATTCTTTATACTTATTTAAAATTGTTTCAAGTTTTTCCACAAGTAATAAAAGTATGAAAAAAGTAAACAAGTTTCACCCAAAAGTTTAGTCATAGTTCTGCTGCCGCTGAAAAACATCTGTAAACTGTTGTCTGTTTTAGGGTTTGCTGGTGTGTTTCAGGATCTTCCTCAGTCTGCAGCTGTAAAAGGAAAATATAATATACTTCAGTAAAGCAATGGGCTGAGTCTGACCAAATGCAACATTAGATCATTGACACCAGTTAAAATATAACTTTTCAGTAAATAACAAACCTCAGCTTTTATAATAAATTTAGATAAGATTACATATATTAAGAATACCGGGTCTTTTGACAACACTAGTACCTACTGCTAAATCCCAAAGTACAGAGATAACCCTCATCCACCATAAATTGGGCATTGTAAGCTTGCGATTTTGAGAAATCATGAGAGACCATCTTGCCTGTACAAGAGCAATGTTTTCCCATGGTAGATCAGCGGTCTGGGACAGAGAAGACATCCTCCAAAGCAGATGAACTGACAGATGAATGAATTGTACACAGAGCTTTGCCAGTATCGTAGTCAGGAACAGTTTTGCTTTCTGCCTAAAAAAAAAGGGGAAAAATTCTAAGATATTACAGGAAGTTCTCTGAATGAAGAACATTTGTTCACCAGCCTGGTTGTGTGTGTGTGTGTGTTTTTTAAGCTAGACTCGATGTTTCACGTAATTACCCTTTTTTCCCAGGGTGATGGATCGAAAACCAGCATCACAGTGGATTTCGGCGACGGAAACGCTTTCACCTACTCCAACGTGAGCTCTATCGAGGATGGCATTAAACACATCTACAAGAACGTGGGAATCTACCGAGTGTCAGCCACGGCAGAGAACAGTCTGGGCTCGGAAACGGTGCTCCTCTTCCTACACATTACGTGTAAGCCAAGATATGGGAGGGCGAGTAACAATATGCACAATACAGACAGCCATATCGTATTCTACTTTTATATCCTTAATGTATTTTAAAGACCCACTGGGTCTGAGGACTCTTAACTCATTTATGCTTTATTGACCAGAAAAATCTCATTTGGCCTTGGTCGTATTGCACTCCACATTAAGCAATCTAGATTTCAAGCTTATAGTCTCTAACTGGAAAACAAGATTGGAATCATCCCTCTTAGTTATTGCCGACAGACACTTCAGTGTATGATGAAGGTCCCGAGGACCCAAAATATGATCAGGGTCTGATGAACTTTACTTAATGTAACTTTAAGAATTATGAATCCGTTATTTTTAGTAAATTAAAACCATACAGCACAAACAATGTAGTCAAATCAATTTCGAAACAAATTACTCTTTTGAACAGTTTGTTTAAGTGAATCAAATACTATTAGTTTACATTTTTCTCTTATGTTGCTCATAAAACTCCTGAGACTTCATATGACTATAAGCAATACACATTATGAGTAATATTTTATACAAATAAATTAATTATGCTATTTTTTTTTTTGTTTAATGTTGTTTAAAAATATATTTGAGAGTTTAATTCAAGAAAGGTTTGGAATGTTATTGCAGAACTATTTGGAATAGGCCTATTTAATTCTAATTCTCTTGATTCTTTTTGGCACAAAACACACAGAATGCCTACATTAGTCTGATTCTCTATTAATGATTGACTCTTATGAGTCATTTCTGTTTAGTGAATCATAAACATACAACAAAACCTGTATAGTCTGATTGCCAAACTGATGTCTCTTATCATTTATTTTTTTTAGAAAATTAAAACCATACATTGTGAACAGTGCAATCCAACTGATTTACAAACAAATTACTCTAATGAGCGATTCTTTTAATTGAATCAAACACAAACAGTTTACAGTTGACTCTTATGTTGCTCATAATACTCCTGAGATACGACTATAAGTAGTACACATTATAAGTAGTTATAAGGAGTTATGATTGATGATCAGCTGACTTTCTCAGACCACATTGCTAAAACTGCCCGGTCCTGCAGATTTGCTTTATTCAACATCAAGAAGATCAGGCCCTTTCTTTCAGAACATGCTTCACAACTCCTTGTTCAAGCTCTTGTTCAGTCCAGGCTGGACTATTGCAATGCTTTCTTAGCAGGTCTTCCAGCCAGTTCTATCAAACCTTTACAATTAATCCATAACGCGGCAGCAAGATTCATTTTAATGAGCCAAAAATAATGCACGTCACACCTCTGTTTATCAATTTGCACTGGCTACCAATAGTTGCTCACATAAAATTCAAGGCATTAATGTTTGCCTACAAAACCACCACTGGCTCTGCACCCCTTTACCTAAATTCATTACTTCAGACTTATGTGCCCTCTAGAAGCTTGTGTTCTGCAAGCGAACGTCGCTTTATTGTGCCATCACAAAGAGGCACAAAATCACTTTCAAGGACTTTTACATTAAATGTTCCCTACTGGTGGAATGACCTGCCCAACTCAATCCGAGCAGCTAAGTCCTTAGCCATCTTCAAGAATCGGCTAAAAACACATCTCTTCCATCTTTATTTGACCCTCTAACTCTAGCACTCTCTATTCTAATTCTAATCTTTATAAAAAAAAAAAAACTTGCCCATTTTAGACTTGGAATGGCACTCTATTCATTTACTAACTGCTTGTTTTCTTTAAAAACAAAACAAAACTAAATAAAACTAAAAAACTAACACTAGCTTCTCTAATCTTTTTGTATTCTATCTATTTGTTTTCTTTTTATTTATTATACAATTAACAAAAGCAAAAAAGTCCTCTAACACCAGCTTGCTCTATTCTTATATTACTGGATGCTCGAAATTGAATGGGAGAATGCACGTTTTAAACCACTTATTGTACAGGTAGGTAAGTTAATTGCCATTCTAATCTAATGCACTGCTGCACTGTAACGCACACACATTACAGACAGTAGCTCGTAAATCACACGTAGATCGCGCGCACACAGAATCATTCAGCGCGGAAATGTATTGTCAACCAGTGTTGGGCAGTAACGCGTTACTGTAGTTTGATTACTTTTTTAATCCAGTGGATTAGAGACCTGCTCCCGCGAGACCCGATGCAACAGAGTGCGGCGCGGGACAAGATGGGCGAGTGCTGGTGCGGGCGGGTAGACGCTAGTGTGTGTGCGGGATGCAGGAGAATAAAATGATTCACGGGACTCCCGCTAAATAGAAATATCTAAAACAAATTAATTGTTATTCATCTATTGCACAAAAGCAACATGAACTAATATAAAATGACGATTAACAGGTGCAAGCGTATGCAGAGTTTCTATTTAGGCAGAGATTGCAGCGTTGAGCAATGCAGTGCTGAAATTTGCGTGCTCACGAATCCTCTCATTATAACACACGAATTGTAGACATTATGAAAGATTCATTATACATATATTTATTGTTATAACAGAGATTTGTGAGATTGCGATGAACTGAGATGTCTTTTAGAGATTATAAATGCTGCGCTCTTTGCTGGCATTCTGCCATGCTAAACCATGCACGCAGCAGCCACTTGCTTTAGTTAAAAATAACAGTTCTCTGTGAATGTTGATGCTTTAATAACAGATATTTATCGGGAGCATGTATGCTGGGATTTCATAAATTTAATGGAGAAAAAAGTAATGTAACTAGTAATGTAACTAATTACTAATTACTTTTGAAATAAAGTAATCAGAACAGTAACGTGATTACTTTTAAAATGAGTAATCAGTAATCAGTAATTTGATTACATTTTCGGAGTAATTTGCCCAACACAGTTCTTGAGCACCACATCGGCATACGGAAGACTGGAGTAACGGATCATATGAACAATGCCATCACATGAACAAATTACATTTAAAAATATATTAGAATAGAGAACCGTTCTTTTAAATTGTAATAATATTTAACAATATGACTGATTTTACTGTATTTTTTTTAATCATGTAAATTCAGCCTTGGTGAGCATAAGAGACAAAAACATTAAAAAATCTCGACCGACCCCAAACTGTTACTGTATTTTTGCCTGACAAGTTTGTTTTTCTGACAGACCCCCTCCAGTGGTGAGGTGCCGTACCTGGGCACTTATCTGACCGTTCTCACCATGTTGGACACAGCACTAAGTGACAATGTAGAGGTGAGAATTTTTTTCTGACCTTAATTCATGTCATATACTGTACATAGTAGTTGTTTTATTTTTTTCAGTTACCACACTGACGTTTCTTTGTTTAAATGATAAACTCTCTTCTTTGTGCTCACAGGGGGGTCTCATCAACTTTGAGAAGCGCAGAAAAGTTAGTACAATCACTGTAGCCTTCATATTGTTTCACTGAAAAGAAGCTCACTAGGTTTTATACCAAATGCTAGTGTGTCAAGAGTGCTGACGTGTGTTTCTCCATTCCTTTCTGTGTTCAGGAGTTTGAGATAGAGATTATAAATGCTGCGCTCTTTGCTGGCATTCTGCCATGCCAAACCATACACGTAGCAGCTGCTTGCTTTAGTTAAAAATAACGAGTGTTCTGTGAATGTTGATGCTTTAATAACAAATATTTATAGGGAGCATGTATGCTAGGATTTCATAAATTATACATTTTCAGAGTAACTTGCCCAGCACTTTTCTGTGATTTCTCAATAAAGTAGCTTTGAAACTGAAAAGTTCAAGCATATATTTCTTAATAACTCAATTCCACAACTTCACTACTAGTAGAAAGACGCTGCCAGGTAGAATTAATTCAGACTCGCAATCGCTTTCACTAATGCATTCATATGAATGTAATCTTTACTGTGCTACTTTATCTGTATCTGATTTAGAACAAGCAGAAATCTGTGAGAAATATAACGACCTAAAGACAAAAGAACTGATAAAAATGAGCTGTTATAGGAGCAATAGTCATGTGGGCAGCGCTGTGTCATATGCCATAGTTGTGCACAAGCTGTTTATCACAGCTCCAGAGTTATTTGTTCATTAATGACGCCATCAGTGAATAGTCGACTTCGACTCCACTTTCATCACATAAAAGTCGACTTTTAAAAAATCGTTCAACCCCTATAGTTATATCTAATAACTTTATTGTCATGACAATGTTACCCCTAAAATGGCCACAAAAATTAGAACTCTAGCTACAGCTTAATAATACTTAATAATACTTATATAATTATAATCAAATCTCATTTGTAAGTCGCTTTGGATAAAAGCTTCTGCTAAATGACTAAGTGTAAATGTAAATGTAATATTTGATTCTAATTCTCTTGATTCTTTATGGCACAAAACACACAGAATGCCCACATTAGTCCGATTCTCTAATGATTGACTCTTATGAGTCAGTTCTGTTTAGTGAATCATAAACAAACAGCAAAACCTGTATAGTCTGATTGCCAAACGAATGTCTTTTATGAGTCAATACTTTTTAGTAAATTAAAATCATACAGTGTGAACAGTGTAATCCAACCGATTTCCAAACAAATGACTCTAATGAACGATTCTTTTAAGTGAATAACAGCATCGAACTGTTATATTTACTGTCAAGTTGTACTTAAAATTACTCTGACGTCTTATGACAATGCACAGCTACATTATGCTACAGAGTAGCATTAAAAAAATGTCACCACATTTTTTGCTTGTTTAATATTGTTGTTTAATATATAGTTAATGCCAATTATTGAATTGCTTTCATGCTGTCTCTACAGACTGTGAGAAATCATTAAAAAGCATGGATTTCAGATGTACTTACCCTTTGATGTTTTGTAAAAAGAAAAGAAAAGTGTGGTTGGTCATTTCACATGCTGGTCAAACGGCCTATTCCTGTCCACGTAGGTGGTTCTTGGCCAGAATATGGATTAGACTTTATGCCAATAATCAAAAATGTTGTTTAATATATAGTTAATGCCAATTACTGAATTGCTTTCATGCTGTCTCTACAGACTGTGAGAAATCATTAAAAAGCATCGATTTCAGATGTACTTACCCTTTGATGTTTTGTAAAAAGAAAAGAAAAGTGTGGTTGGTCATTTCACATGCTGGTCAAACGGCCTATTCCTGTCCACGTAGGTGGTTCTTGGCCAGAATATGGATTAGACTTTATGCCAATAATCAAAAATTCTGGCTTTACAAACTTTTGAGCAGACAACTCTATCCTATGTAGCAATGATTTTGGAAGATGCTATTTTAACACATGAGCAGATGGCCTGAGTTTAAGCTTTTTTTAGTGGTTGTAGTCTGTGTTCGTGCTAGAGGAAGCTCATCAAATATCAGTGTTTAACAGAGATTAACTAAGCATTTTGATTCAAATGTTCACCCTTTTTCTCATGACCACCTACTCAGTGAACTTGCCACCCCCTGCTACATTCAGGCAGACAGATGCCTCCGCAGTGACATATTGATCAGGGAGACTTCCAATCTGCCAATCCTGTCTTGCCAGGCAAAGCAAATTGGGCCTCTGGAGCATGAGCTGAAATTCACACGCAGATGGCTCTGTGTTCCTATGAGAAGTATTTGTGAATGAATGAATATATGTAATTATACATATCATTTGGAGGATGTTAAGTTTGTGCTATAACTTTAAGGCTGTTCTTTCTTTGGTCACAAATAAGAACTACATTCTACCATAATTTGCTCATATATAATTCTGTGAGAATATATCATATAACTACTGTTCTTTTTTTTTTTTCACTTTTTATTATTATTATTTTTTTTCATTATTTATTATTTTTATTTTTTATTATTTATTTATGGTGAAGGAATTCTCTTAAGCTTACCTTGGCTGTATGTATTTGAATAAAAAATACAGTAAAAACAGTAATATTGTGAAATATTATTACAGATTAAAATAACTGCTTTCTGTTTGAATATATTTCAAAATGTAATTTATTTCTGTGATGATGGCAAAGCTGAATTTTTAGCAGCCATTACTTATTGTCACATGACTCTTTAGAAATCAATCTCATGTTGATTTTGTGCCCAATAAACTGTTAAAAATTTTTTAAAAGTTAATATATCCGAATCCGGTTCAAGATTTATCATATTATAAGCTCCATACTAAGTGCCATTTGAAATTTTCTTCTAAAACTAGCATTTTTATGAGGCCCTTATGTGTAGGTTCAATATTTTCAATTTAATGGCAATGAATAGGTTATTTTTATTGCAATTAAAGTGAAATAACTGAACATAAACATAGTAGTCTGGGAAAAATGTTCATTATATATATATATTCAATTAAATTCAAATTTATTTTTATAGTGCTTTTCACGATGCAAATCATTGCAAAGCAGCTTTACAGAAAATTAAAGTTTCTACATTCTATTTAGTAATAGCTTATCAGCGGTGACTATCTAATCAAACAGATGGTGAACACTATTAACAGCAATGATGAGCTTGTAGCGTGATAGAAGACTAGTTATGCAGGAGCTAAACCATTTAGGGCCTTAAAAGTAAGTAGTAATATGTTGTAACTGATACGGAACTTAATAGGTAGCCAGTGCAGAGACTGTAAAATTGGGGTAATATGATCATATTTTCTTGA